AGGAGTGAGGAGGGGCACATCTTTTCCTGGAGGACTCTGCAGATGCCCCCCAAGTTCCCTAAGGGCTACACATATCAATTTAGCAGGCTTTGGATAAGCAGTTGCTGAGCCGGGGTAGGGGCTGGGACTGGCTGGGGGTCTCCTGAGTATGGTGTGTGCTTGTGCACCCCAGGCTCTGGCAGGCAGAATGCGAGGCCAGGCCTTTGTGTGTGTGCCAAGGAGGAGCCTCAACTTCCAGCCTGCTTCCTGTTTAGCTGGGACAAAGAGAGTACAGTTCTGGTCTCTGCAAAGCCTAGGTGAGGGGCTGTTGTGGCCAGACAGTCCGTGCCATTCATTCTTTTTACAAGTGGCAGCAGAGCCTGAACTGAAAGGAGGAAACATAGCCCTGCCTGCGTGGTAGTTTTATGGAAGATTTGTGGCCTTATTTAGCATAGATGTAAGTCCTGATTAAAATATCCTGTAATGTGCACTGATTCCCTTCTAGAGTGCCTGTTCTCACTTCCCTGAGCATGGTGGTGAGACTCTTTGAGGCTTAGCTCTTCTTTTCTCTTGCTTTGAGTCATTTGAATGCTCCTTCCCACCTTGTTATTTTTTCTCCATTTCTTCATGAACTTTGTACCCCATTTCCTTTTTTTCCCACTTTGAATTGTTTTTAGAGTTATCTCCCCCAGGTAGATTCCTAAACTCTTAAGGCTTACTTTGTTTTCTCAGCAGTTTACTTGTGCCTCTTCTATGATCTCAGCCCATGAACATTAATCAATAGTAAACCAAATCCACCATCATGAACTCTGCCACCGAGATACCACTCGGGTCTTTGCTCTCCCTGTCATCTTATTCTATAAAGTGGGACTCAATTTCCCATAAGCAGAAGCAGAATCTCTATTTAAATCCTGCTTGCAAGGTCTGGGCGAACTTCCTATTTATAGTAAAATCCTTTTTATAATGATCTCATATACGGTACCAGGAAATTGCTCACTGCTGGGTCAGGCCATAGGCCAATATAGCCATGGTATTAGCTTGACTTACAAACATTCCTTCATGAGCCTCTGGAATTCTCAAGAGAAGTGTTTTTATAGACTAAATGACAATAAACAGGGTCACCTGGGATGGATTACTGTGGTAGGGACATTAAGTTCAAAGGGAATTTCTGTTTTTATCAGGCCAATCTCAATAATTTTTTATCACTTTGGGCTTTGTAAATAGCATATTGGGTGAATCAAGTTGAGTCTAAAGAAATTTATGGAATATTTGATATACAAGGTACGGCCAGGAAGTGTTTGCCTCTAGACTTCCCTTGAGGCAGACAAGTGTGATTAGTGGTAGAATCTCTCAGGACATTGACAAACTGGGATGAATCCCATCTCCCCTTCTTTGTAACTGAGACCTGGAGAGCCAGTACCTTAATCTCTTGGATATCAGTGGCCTCATGTATCAAATAATTCCCATGTCACAAAGATTCTGTGAGAATCAACAAAATAGAGTTTGTAGCACATCCAGCACAAGCTTCAGTGGAGTTGTGTTGTGTAATAAACACCTGCTCCTTTCTCTTCTCTGCAAGCAGGTGAACAAGATGGAGGCTGAGTGGGTAGGCGTGACCTGGTAGTTCTTTCTTGAGACAATAAGTTATGGTCCTCAGTTACCCACATCTGCATACTCTGGAAGCTGGCCTTAAATCCAGGTCAGATGACCAACTCAGCCAGTTCTTTCTTGTCTTTGAGGAGTTGAGAAATAAAGCAAGGGCAGGCAGTAAATGATGTTCAGAACAACAGATAACTCTGCCATGGGGAAAGCAAACACAGTGCTCTGTCCCAGGGGCATCTACATGTGATAGCAAGAGGAAGAAAAATATGGATAGCATGCAAAATCTGCAGATGCACAAGTCCTTCGTATAAAAGGAAATAGTATTTGCATATAACCTATGCACACCCAATTTTATTCTTTAAACTACGTCTGCATAGTTCTGCCATCCATTTCTAAGCCATTCACTTCCCAGATTGTTGGTAAGCATTTCCAGTGTACAAGACACGTAGACATTCCAGTAATGAATTAGGTATGGTCCTGGGCTTGAAGGAGTAGATCATGTAGTATGGGTGATGAGGCACACATGTGTTAACAAGAGAAGGGGCATAACAGTGATACCAACAGACTGCCTTCCCCAAAGAATGACTGCTTATTTCTAGCTGGGAATTGGAAGTGCTCAGTGGGAGAATCTTCATTCTGAAACCAATTTTAAGTAACAAAATGTATAAGAGAATCAGATGTAGAGGTATTAGTCCCTTCTATGGCATTTTACCATGATGGAAGGATGCTTTGAGTTCTTTGTGTCAAGGAGAGAGTAGGCACTGCCACACAAATGATTTCTTTGAAAAGAATGCAAAACTGTTCATTGTCACTTTCTATACTGGGCCATTGCTAGACCAAAGTATATCTGCTGCCCAGCATGTCACAGCTGTACTCACCAGGGCTGACAAATGGGATTTTAACATCTCCTTGACTCCCTTGAATGGGCACTTTGTATAGCCAATGACCAATACAGATATGGGGACCCTGCATGAACTCTGTCTCATTAGAAACTCCTCTTCTTCAGATAAATTAAATTCTGCTCCTTTGGTCTTTTTATATAGGATCGTTTTCTCCATCACTATCTGCTTTGCTCTACTAGGTCATTTCTGAGTTTTTATTTCATGCTTTACTGGAGTTCTTGACTCAGTGGGATATTCTGCCAATAGTCTGTTGGTGTGAATACTGTAAATAATTGGACATTCTTACACTCTATATTTTCCCTCATTTTCATATATCACAGGGCATACAGTATGGTGGAGACCATCAGATTTTTTGGTTGCTTGAAGATTTTGTGAAGGGCCAATCAGGAATTCCCTAAGAGTGTAGGAGAGAGACAGATGAGGAAACTGGGCCCCCTGAGAGTTTTGCGATGATAACAGATGTGATACTTTAATTGCTTTTATGGAGGAAGCATTATCAGTTGTGACTGGCATCTGCATATTTTAGATCTAGTCCCTGCCACTCATGAAACCCAGCTTTGGTTTACCCTTAGCCCCCAATTTTATATACTTCACCTCTAATTTATGTTCACCATTTGATAGTTTTCCACCTATCTTTTGGTGTTTACTTGCTTCCTAGACATGACTGGATTTTCTCAGAAAAGTTTTAAAAATGGCAAAGATGGAAATTGAAGGAGAAGGAAGAAAGGGACACTGGTACTTCTGGATTTGGGCAAAACACATTTTACAGGCAGAGTAATGTTTTTGCAGATGCACTGGTTTTGTGGGTTTATTTGTAAAACTACTCTGTACGCCATGCAGATGTCTTTGAACTCTAGTGGCAGGGAAAGAAAAGCCCAGACTCTATAGACCTTGTGGGGTAGGCCAGCTTCTCTGCCTCCCCAAACAGCCAACACTTTCCTTGCTGAGAATTGTCTGCCTCCCTAAAGATGGAAATCAATGACTTAGAAACCGATTAAACAATCCAAACAGCAACTGATAAATGGATTAACCCTCGGTAATATAATTCTGCTAGCTTTTGTCTTCCGCCTTCCCCAGGTAAGTTTTCTATTCCTGGAGGCAAAGCAGAGGCATGGAGGAAAGGAAGGCCAGAGGGAATCATATTAAAGTGGGTGAATCTGTTTATCACTTACTGTCTGGATGGGATTTCTGCTCACATATCTGCTTTCTTTTACAGATTTGTACCCTTCGGGACCCTGATTAATGTTAGCCAGTGAATAATGAAAGGTAGCAGCAGATGTTCGGGATGCCAAGAAGGAAGATAGTGGTTAAGGCCAATCCTACAAATGGAGAGACTTTTTTCCCTTTTATTTGCAAACAGGAAGTGTGTGTGTGTGTGTGAGAGAGAGAGAGAGACAGAGAGACAAAGAAATGTCCACAATAGGAGGAAAGAAACAGAGGATAATGGAAGCATTTCTCCCAGCAAAGAACCTGTCTGAGGCTTTTCAGTCAGCCCCTTGAAACAGAGAATGATTTTGGTACTCAAAGACATGTGCTATTCTTACAAAGCTTTGATTTTGAGGTTATGTCCCAAGGATTTTCTTTGCCTTTGTTTAAGAACTCTCAACAGGAATTAGATATAGTGTTAATAGGTTGATACCTAAGCATTTGACCCATCTTCCCATTCACCATTTGACCCATCTCTGGCATGACACTGAACTATCTCCTAGTAAACTTGTGTATATTTCTTTTTTTTTTTTTTTTTTTGGTACCAGGGATTGAACTTGGGACCTTGTGCTTGCGAGGCAGGCGATGGAACCACTGAACTAAATCCCCCGCCCTGTGTATAGTTCTAATTCTAGACATTGGGTTTTGTAAATTAACTTGTCCTGAGTTGTATGGGGCTTTTTGTGAATAATGAATCTGACTTCAGGGGGATGGGCAAGAACATATACCTGTGTACCTGCCAAGATATTCACCAAAGTCCCCAAGAACCTCTCCAATGTGCTTTCTGGAAATGACCAGCCACTGGTCATACTTCTAAATTTTTCTTTTCAGGGACAGGAAGAGGACTGTTTCCTAAATGGGTTTTTCTCAAAAGCAAGGTCCAGGCATTGACTTTTGTTCGTCCTGTAGCCACCACTATTTATGGGTTCCTTCTGATGTTTGAGGTCTTGGCTTGAGGGCTGGTTGTTCAAGGTTGACTGAAGTTCACTTGATTAGAAATACTTCTGGGTGAATTGTTTATCTAGAGATACAATCAGAGGAGCAAGGTGGTTTCTATAAAAACCGGTGGGAAATACTGCAGAAATTAAACTCTGGAATACTTGTAAGGCATTAGTATTATTGAACCAAGAAGGATCAACAAAACAAAACAAAACAATCCAGCCTAATATCACCACTTGATTGTAACAAACCCTTATATTCTAAACTTTGTATTCTTTCTGGAGTGGATTCTGCCACATTGTGGGAAGAGAAGAGGGAGCAGCAGGAACACATCTCAGCCTAAGACTGGAATTTGTTTTAATGTTTCCACAGCCCAGAAAGGACCAGACGGGACGGTCATTCCCAATAACTACTGTGACTTCTGCTTGGGGGGCTCTAACATGAATAAGAAGAGTGGACGGCCCGAAGAGCTGGTGTCTTGTGCAGACTGTGGACGCTCTGGTGAGTGTGGCCCCTTCCTGCATTGTGTGCCCATAGGCCAGGAGCTCTTCTTCTTGCATCCCTCTTCCATCTTGCAGGAGAGGGGTGGATGAGGAGAGTGGAGAAGGGATAGTGGTGATGATTTTGAGTGGAGGGGAGTTTTGAGGTTGTTGTGGTATTTTTTTTTTTTCTTTAGGTATTAAGAAAAAGTTATGCCCTGAGTTCCGGGGTAAGAGTCAAGGAGAAGGTTTTGCCTTGTGTCTGGTCTTTGAGGTAGACATTACTCTGTGTGTGTTGTTGCAGGTGATAGCAAGGTAGAGTGGAAAAATCTGGAGATCCATGCTTCCACGCAGCATGCTCTCTCGTATTGGACGATTCACAAAAAAGATGTGTTTGTTCTGTGGAAGTACCTTGGGCAAACCAGGAGAGTATGGAAATATGAATATTGGGAAAACAGCCACATGGTAAATTGTGGAGATCAGGGATCCCTGGCTCCTGGGTAGCTGCATAAATGCACCACCTTCTTTGGTCTCTCATCTCATTTGCTTGTGGAACAGAATAAAAGAGACTCATAAATCAAGGGGGCAAAAGGGTAGGCATTCCTGGGGCTAATCTGGAGTTGACTTGGTGTACTTTTATTTATTTTTTTCCACCTTTAACCTATCCAAAGACCAAAATATCGAAAAGAGACTCCTTCATTCTTAAAATGAGTTTGGGTCTTTCCCATCGTTTCAGTTTTTAGTTCTAATGAATCCATTATTTTTTGGCTGATCATGGTTGGTTAATGCTACCTGTTTTTCATATTGTTTTATGTTCTAGCTAGATCAAAACACAAGGGGAGGAAGGATTTCTTATGCATCATTAGTCTCATCAATTACTGACTAGTAGGTGAAACAGTTTGAACAGTTGGTTCCAGCATGAGAGGTCATTGCTCCTTACCACCTTTTGACCTGGTCTTATTTCTATTCCCAGCCCAAAGCAAGAACTGAGATGAACAAATCTTGCTTTATTGCAGCAAATCAGTTTTTCCTTGTTTGGTCTGAGAAAGCTTACCTTTACCTCTTTTACATTTTGATGTCAGGGCTGTTTAGGGATTAAGACTGCCTTGAGTGAGAAACCAGTGATTGGAAAAGGACTTGGTTTCCATTGCATACAGCCCTCATCATTTAACTCGCAAGGATCCACAAAGGTGGCCCTTTGTGCAATTCTCTCAGTTCATATACAGTCCAAACATGACACCTAACTTACTCTGTTGATGCTAGCTTAGAACATAAGGCCCTTGTATTTGTGAACTCTGGTTTTTAGATACTGAAAAAGAAAATAAAACAAATGAGATTTAACTCAGTGTCTTTTAAGAGCAAACAATCAGACAAAATCTCTACTGCCTGAAGCAAGGTCACTTGTAGTGCTGTTCGAAGCAGGATATTATGGGCTGTTATAAGTTCAGATGGGATTGGAGAGTGCACACTCACATTCTCATTGCAAACTGCTATAATTTCCCCCTTTTCTATCTTATAAAAGGCGGAGTACTTGCATCTGATCCATGGGCATCAGAAGTGGGATGGTGGTTTTAAATACATGAAGCCTCTCTTTCTACAACCTTCACTCAGCTTTTCTTTCCTAGGTTCTGTCTGCTATGTGACTCAGGGGGCCATATTTTTTTAAACCAGCATAGATATTCTCTTTGCAGTTGCCGAAGATTAATTTTGGTGGATCACTTAATCAAGGTGTGACTCTGATGTTCCTGAAATAGTTGATCTTTTGGGAATACACAGGTGGCATTAGCCCATGCCTGTTAATGCAGGTGGGCGAATACTTCTCTAGGGTCTCCCTTGGGTCTTTCCAGAGAAGAGCTCAGAGCTTGGAAGAGCTGCCTTTCCCTGCTCACCTGCCCCACTGCTTCTGTTTCCAGGGAGAAAGTGGGATGCTTATAAGAGCTCATTATTACTGTCTGGGGAGGCAGCTGGGGGTCCATTACAATATTTAATTGTTTAAACCCGAATTTTACCAGTTTTAAGATCCTGTATTTTATTAGGCTTTTTGCTCCTATTTATCACCTTTTTAGGGTTTTAAATTAGATTAGACAATCTGAGTTTTCTGGAGTAACTAAGTCCTGGGCATGTTTAATTGCTGGAGTGTGTATGTAGGGGTGTGTGTATGTGTGTGCGTGTGTGCCCACTCACCTGTATGTGGGTACAGATCACAAACATTTCCTTCAGTGGTTAAAGGCCATGAGAAATTCTTTGATGACCTATCAATTATCAGATTTTCTAACTTCTTTTTGCTTTCAGTGCAAATGAACTACATGGTGTAAGGATAGAATTGAAAGGGTTCTGAAAGAATGGGATTAGAAGCAGAGAAAAATAAAAATAGATGGACTTAACCACCTTGAATGGGTTATCTGACAGTAATACCTTTTGTAAAGCTGACTGTCAAAGTGATGGACAAACATTGTTCAAAGCAGCATCAACCGAAAACACCAAAGAAATGCCAACCAGGCTTAAAAACCACCGAGAAAATCATTGTTGGGGGCAGGGTTGAGTGAGCGTGCAAGCGTCTGTGTGCATGCGAAAAAGGAGAGAGATCATGTTGCTTCTCTGGCTGTCAGAAGCCGTGGACATGGGTATTTCGGGGGAGGGACTCCTCTTCCCTGGAAATGCGTGCTGTGCCCCAAATCCCCATCCCTAGGTGATGTACCTGGTTAATCCTTTTTGGTGTGACAGTGGTTTGTTATCTTGCTATTAAGAATAACATTGTAATAACATAATGAGAATATTAATGATGCTGCCTGTTGCTTAACCCATGTGCTGATATATTCATCATACATGTCAGCTCATTTGGGAGGAGAAGGCAGGAAGGAGAAGGAGGCAGCGGCCGCAGCACGCACCACGGAGGACTTATTCGGTTCCACGTCAGAAAGTGACACCTCAACTTTCCACGGCTTTGATGAGGACGATTTGGAAGAGCCTCGCTCCTGTCGAGGACGCCGCAGTGGCCGGGGTTCGCCCACAGCAGATAAAAAGGGCAGCTGCTAAGCCCATGGGACAGACTGTCTGGGCCATCAGCCACCCTCTCTGACTCTGGTCATTGTTCTGGTTCTGATATACATATATATATACACACACACACACACACATATATATTTTTAATGAAAGACAACTTAGGTTTTCCCTTTATCCTTGCCTTTTCCTTCCGCCATCCACATGCCCCTTCCACTGCCATTCCTCTATTTTGGGTATGTACAACAGAAGCACCAACTACTGAAACAAAACAAAAGAAAAGAGCAGAATGTGAGTTCTTCAGAGAAATGGCATGGCTATGTGCTATTTATTTTCCCTAGAAATAGAAATTAGGTGAATTTTCTCTCTTTTTTTGGTGGGGGAGGGGTTCTTTTTGACATGAGCAGAGTTGATTTCCTCAGTTTTTTTATTTATTGGCAAAATGAAGTTAAACCGAACACTGGGTTTGGAAACAAAAGAGCCAATAACATTAAAAATTATTATTTATATATGCTAGCTATTATTAGAATCAGACTTTTGAGAGAGAGAGAGAGGGAGAGAGAGGGAGAGAAGGGAAATCAGAGAAATCGAAGTAATATCCTGTTTAGAAGAAAGCCACTGGGGGAGAAGTTCCTCAGTGGGAGATGATTGCAGTTTCTGTGCCCCATGGAGTTGGTGGCCTCCCGGGGCAGACCCCCTCCCCATTTCTCCTCCCTGACCTTTCCATCTTCCTCTCTGCTTTCGAGAAAATGTCAGCCGTCCCAGAGAAGCCCGGCTGCCCCTTGTCTGGCCTCCCTCCAGTGCAGGCCCTGGCCAGCAGCCACCTCCTCGGCGGCTCCTCTGTTCGACAGAGCTGCTGTTTCCTTGTTGCTGATTTTTTCCTTACTTTCCTCTTGGCGAAGCACAACTTCCAAATGCAAGAATGGAATATAAGCAAAAGTCAGTGACCAGACAAGTGGAGGCCTTGCTTTTGAAAGAAGAATGAAACCTCATGTGTATTTCCCCTCCTGGCACCTTTGTTTAAAAACACCTAACTGCCTGTTGGATGATCAAGCTTCCTGTATTTCTTCTACTTTTTTTATAGTGCCCGCCAGGCACTTTGTTTTATATCTCCAATAGCAACTCTTGAAAGAAACCAAAGCAACACTTGCTCAAGGGCCCTGGCAATGGAGAAGACTGCCTACCAGTTTGGCAGCCCCAACATCGAACGGCTTCGAGGCTCTGCTCAAAAGGTAAGTCCTGGTTTACTTGTCTCATAAAGAGGGCAAAACCATCACAGTCTTTTTTGTTGTTGTTGGTTTAAAAAATTTTATTTTTTTGTTTTTACTTTTCTGTGTCTTCCTTTTCTTTTTCCTTTGGGTCCTCTAACCTCCCCCAGCTTGCTCTTCTGTTTATCTGGGGCCCCACTTCTTAGTGTGGGAGTGTCTTGTGCCTGGGCCCACAACGGCCTGCGTGTGCATGTGATGCATACCTGCCTGGGCCTGGCATAGTGTGGGGCTGATGCTTGCCTGGATTATGGAGGGGCTCTGGGGGCAGAACGGTGGGCTTCTGGCTTTGGCTTCCATTGCAAGAGAAACTGGCTGGGGAAATGCTTGGCTGACTCTGCTCCTTCGGCTAAACATGGAAATGGAGTTCAGGGAGCTGAGGTTGGAGTTGGCTGCTGGGCTTGGTAGGAATCAGGACGTGCAGTCGCAGGGTGCTGCATGTCCTGGGTGGTGTTCCTCGCTCTAGGTACAGCCAAGAGAATGAGGTCAAACTAAAGAAGATCCCTGGTTAGGCACAGCACTCATCTGGGCTGTTTTGAAGATTCTGAACTCCCATGAAATGTTGCCAGGGTCTCTGGCCTCCATGAGAAACCAGGCCTGGAGATACGGGCAGTGCCAGTTGACTTGGGTTAGGAAGATCCAAGTGGCTTCCTGACTTCCATGCTGCTTGTATGTGTCTGAGAAGATCTACTTTGACAATCCAGCCTTTGCAGATACCCCTGAATTAAATTCACTACACAAACAACCCACAGACAGA